TATTTTATTTTATTTATTTTATTTTATTTTCCTAGTATAGCATTTAATTTTGTATTGTTCTTGGTATGGCCTGAGCCAGAGGAGTCACTCTGGCATACAGTTGTTATAGAAGGGATGTACAGTCTTACCCGGTTTTCCTCCTGGACCTAGACTCAAACTTGTTGTTTAACTCTGCATTATCTGTATGTACATACTGGGGCTAAAATATTCATTAAAAATAGGTTTCTAGATCCAAGTGGAGATGATAGCCTTTTTCTTTCAAGCAGTAGGCATCCAGCAACAGCTGAACCCAATGACACATTTTAAGAATGCAGAGAATGTAAGGTTTAAAGTTTCTTAATCCACTGAACTTTACGGTTTTGAAGATCTTGTGTGGTTTTTGTCAGCCAGCAGAGGACCACTGAAAATCTTCTCCTTCATGAAAAGCAGTGTAGATGTTTCAGGTGCTGATACAGGCGTGGTTTCATATGGTAGTATTCACACATACGTGAACATATAATACTTCCAAGACTACTGAGGGATCATGGCTCTTAGGAGTGCTGCTGTGAGACCTTATAGCATTTCTGATGGACAGTTCAGTTAGTTTAATATGCACTATCTCAGTCTTACAAATTCTTCTGTTGATCAGAAAACTTTGGTGTTCTTTCTTAGCCTGAAGTTCACGCTTAATCTTAGTAAAGTAAAAAAAAAAATTTGCTTACTGTGAAGGGAAACGGTATTTCTTCACTAAATTAATTTGACATTGATTTCTCTGAAGATAATTCGGTCCCATGGATGATGAAAACCTAAGTTTTCCACGTGGTTTCTAATTGTTGAGTAAGCCTCTTTTTATTAAGTCATTTATGATACAATTTTTCCAAGCTGTGTAGGTGTCTGATTACTTTGAGGTTTATTCTATCATCAATATGTTAAATCACTGATGGTTTGTTGTTTTTTTTTTGGTTTTTTTTTTTAATTTTAAGAATTTTATTTCTCTTGGTGATTTTCTGCACATTCCCAGTCAGGATTTAGTCCTGTTTTATTATAAATGCTTCCAGAGAAACACCCAGCTCTGTGGTTCCCAATAACTTTCTGAAAGGATGATCAATAACCTTGTGTTTGTGTGTTTGTGTCTTTGTGCACGTGCACCTTTTCTCACTACTAATGGAAGTGTATTTTTATTAAATGTTTAGATGTGTCGCTTGTTGAGACATGTTTCTGGAACTGAGCCCCTTGAGATTACTTGCATACATGCAGAAGATACTTTTCAGGTCACTGGCCCACAGGTATGCATGGCTTTTATCTGTCCACTTCTACTGGACATAAATAAGTAAAAATTACTTGTATTAATTTTTTGGAGACCTAATGTTGAACTGTTCAAGCAGCTCTAAGAAGGAGTTACACTTTAATGTTGGGTGGTGGCTAAAACAATGCACAAGCCTGCAAATGTCAGATGAGTACACACTACAAAGACATAACAGTAGCAGTTGAATTTTGTGTTTTGCCTGTGAAGGCATTTGTGAATTCGTGTGCAACACTATTTATTAGGACTTAGAATAGAACATATTTTGTTCTCTGTCCAGATAATTTCCGCTGCAGAAACGCTGGCATTACATCCATCTAGCAAGATTGCAAAAGAAAATCTTGAGGTGTTCTGTGAGGCCTGGGAATCTCAACTGAGTGACATGTCTATGTTGTTAAGAGAAATCAATGATGTGTTTGAAGGAAGAAGAGGTAAGAATGCTAGGTACAAACAGAAAAATGTAGTTTTCAAAACATGTAGTCTAAGAATTTTAAGTGTGATTTAAGAAACATGTTTTCTTAAGAGAAGAGTGCAGTAAACAGTCCCACATCCCCTATAGCAATGTGTAATCTAGATGGCAATACACAAATATATTGTTTTTGTGTAGATGTCAAATTAGGGTACTTACTGGTATTTTTTCAAAGAAAAACAGGCAAAAATGTAAAGGCCTGATTTGTGTTAAATTAGGTATGTTTAACTTTCTACACTGTGGTTAGTTCCAGCAAAATCAAATGGAACAGTTCAAACGACTAAAAAATACTCAACATAGCTCTTTGCCAGCGGTGTCCAAATATTAGGGGTGTAGGGCTTTCATCCCACCTTTTGGTTTGTCTAGGACATGTCAGTTCATGACAATCAAGATATAACTTGAATTGTGTGACATGTTTAATTAATTTCTTGTATTTCTGGAAAATTTGTGTATACGTATATATTCTATACTGTCAGCTTGCCTTGTATTCCCTTCACAATGTAGTGAATGTAGTTATTTGATTTTTAAACTGCTGTCCTTTCTCCTGGATGGAATCTCTGACGACTTTGCACAATCTTGGGATATTTTCTCTGGTTGGTAAGTTTATTGGTATTTGTACAACATGTGAAGAAAACCTTGGAATCTTAAGAAAAAAGTTCTGTGTTTACTTTTAGCATAGGATAATTTACCTTAAAAATGGAAGCCATTTGTTTTTCATTTTTATCTAATATAATTTTTTATTTTTAATGATGTCTTTAATGTAGCCTGTCTTACTTCTTGTGGCTACGTGTTTGTTTCAGTCTTTAAGGTATAATTGCATACAGGTAGAATGTTATATATAATAATACTGAATGTCTTGTATTTTTGAGAAAATCACTCAGGTTTAAAAGTTTGGATTTAGTGAAATACAGGGACTTCTTTGTTTTTATCTAAGATACAGAAAAAGTAAATCCTTATTCAGGTTAGATGACACTTTATCAATTTCATCTTGCTATTAACGTGAGACCTTTTTTCATTTTTAGAGTTTATTTTGTCAGTTTAACTTTCTGTACTTGACCAGGTTTTTGTGTAACCAGTTCTTTTCTGCCAGCTTTGTTGGGAGGACAGTAAACAAGCAACCCCAGGGCAGTAATGTCTTAAACTGTTGCTGCTGGTTGCTAGATGAGTGTGTGTCTGAGCCTGTAGACTTGTAGATTGAAATTCTGGGTGGGTTTACCATATTTGTGAGTAGCGCAGATTATTGGGAATTTGAGGCATTTGAGAAATAAATGATTTTTATCCTACTTGTTCTTCCACCTTGGTCTAGAGTGCCATATAAAGATGTGTAGCAATCAGAAATCTGTTTGTGGGCCTTTTAAGTTTTCAGTGGTTTTTATTTGTTTTGGGAGCCAAGAACATACTGACTTTCTTTAAAACAACATTGAATTTTATATAATACAACTTAAAACATGGTATTACTCTAATATTAATGTGTCACAACACATTTGGAATTTGCAAGGCTGATGATGCAGTTCTCTGATACTTTTCCCATTCATGCAATGGTCTAGTAGGGTTGAAAGATAACCTTTTTATAGATGTATAGGTATGTGTGTGTATGCATATATATATATTACTATTTTAAAATAAAAGGAAGAGAACCATGCAGCCACAGCAAAGCATATACTTGGCTCTTGAAACAAATAGTTCTTGAAGTGTTGGGGCAGATTCCCAGCCTCACCTGTAGTTAGTAACTTTATCTTCTCTTGTGGCTGTTGACAGCAGAGAACAGACATTTCCCACAAGTTGTAGTTTCCAGTTTCTTTAAAGCATCATTTCATAAGACAACCCAATGTCATTGCTTGAAGGAGAGAGGAGAATGGGTAGGTGTTGCTGAGCATGTTAGAGGCTATGGCATGTGTGGGCCTGGGTGCAGTGAAGTCTTACCTTCTCCTGTTTGACACAGCCAGATGAGTGTCTTCTTGTTAGTGTCTCTCATTTCCTCGGTCAGTCCCTCAGCATAGAGTGTTCTGATACCACCACTGGTAAGATAGTAGGTGTAACTTGTATTCTTCATATGGCCTTGGATGCATTAGGTCTTGTATTACCAAAATGACACTTAAGAAATCATGTATCCATTTTTCTTGTCTCATCGCCCAGCCTAGTAAGGGACTTCCCTCTGAATCTGGATTGTTTCATATTAACTGACAGTTATCTCCTTAGAAAGAATTTGGTTTCCTATATCCACCCTTCTTCAGTTTTCCTCTGTATTGTGGGCTAATCTTTGTTTGCTTGTTTCCTCTTGTTGGACTTCAGAGTGACACTTGTCAAAAAAAAACCCCCAAAAACCAACCAAAAAAATCCCTCACACAAATATCCCCATCTGTTTGCTCACAGAAAATGCCCTAAAGTTACCTTGCCACTTTAAACAGTTTTTGTCTTCTAGAAAACACAACTGATGACTGGTTTTATTCTTCTTGTAACTCATGATACTTGTCTTAATATTGAGATTGGTAAAAATGTCTTTATTTTACGGACTGAAATGTAACAAGTGCTTTATTCCTTGTAGAACTGTGATTGTGTGTAACAAAAGATAGAATTACAGTAAGAAGGTATATATTTTTTTTTTTCTTCTCAGTTTAAAAACTTGTATTTTTGTACTACTGATTTAAATGTTTGGCTTTGTTAGAGAGTAAAGAATACAGAGGCCGAAATTGAATGGTGACTAAATGTGCTGGACACATCAAATAAAAGAAGCATTTTTCTGATTACACTAGATTCACATTGTTTATACTAGTTTATTTTTGCAAGTAATTGAATAACTCCTTATCTAGTGTATCTTTCATATCGGCAAATGAGGTATTCCTCATGCTGAGGTTCAAAACTCACATGGATAGAGAGACAGATTTAGCTTGGAATTGAAGCAATATTATACTCCATTTTAAGATAATCGCACTGATCATGCCCACCTTGAAGTGGTCTTGTCTTGGGAAGGGATGTGCACGCACAGGTAGGTGTAGGGGAGGTTGATGAGGACACCACAGCCGAGTAACCCTCACGTACATTTTTGAAAACGTCTGTGTGCTATTTGGAACTATACAGCGAGGTAGAGTTGGACTTCCTTTGCTTAATCCTGAACCACTTCTTAATCCAACAGTGAGGAGGCCCGTTCTGCACCATGTTGGTGTTTGAAATGTTGCGTGGCTGGTGTGGGCTGAGGAAACTGCAGGGCTCTCTGGAGGTGGCTCCTCTCAGCTGGGAGGTTTGTTCTCCACTGACCATGCAGACAGCTGGGAGTTACAAGTTTAGGTTAGATACTTAATTTTGAGGCTCTTGCATTTTGAGATGAATCACCAAATACAAATACAGTTCATTGATCCAATCTGCCAGGAGTCAGACAACCTCTTTTTTTCCTTCCAGCTTTTTGATTTCAGCATGTTGGGGAAGAAGGGGAAGAATATGAATAATGCCCTGCTGGCTTCCTTGTAACTTGGTCAGAAGTGAGAGAATGGTTTATGGAGATAACTTCCTTTTCTGCCCTCCTCTTTTGTTTTGCCCACTTGATTTGAGAGGAGTTCAGTGACCAGGAGGACTGGGGAGGACCGTAGGTGATGAATACAGGATACAGATCAGAATTTCAGAATTTAGAAATTAGAGCTCTAGAAAGAAAGGTGAAGCAGGGATGCAGCCATCCTACTCCCATATAAGAAGTGAGATCAAAAGCAGGATTTAGAAGTTGAAATAGAGACATTTTGGAGGGAAAAACATGGCTGGAACTACTAGAAAGCAGAAAATTGGAAGACAAAGAGGATGAAATAATAAAAAATAATTTTAAATGAAAAAATAAGAAAGAAAAAATGTTAGAGAAAACACATTAGGAAAAACAAAGGCAGACTGGAATAAATAAAAAGAAGAGCACAATATGGCAAAAGGTCTTTTGTTGTTATACCCAAGATCAGACTGAAAAACTAAGGAAATTAAATACTTGAAAAAATACATACATGTATTCTGTTAATGGAATCAAATATAAATTCTGTGATCATACTGATATAATTAAGTATTTTCTGATGAAGTAAGAACATCTCTAGCCTGAGTTGATCTGTGCTTTTGAAAGGTCTAGTATCTGTGGGTCCAGTGAGGTAGCTTTTTTTGTGGGGGTGGTTGTTTTTGTTTTGTTTTAAATGTTCCAAGAAACAAATAGTGAAATAGAAGCAAAAGCTCACCTTTCTGAATATGGTGAGCAACTAAACCTTGCAGAGCTAAATAATGGTAATTGCTTGAAGAGCAAAACCAATTTTTTTATTATTACTATTTCTGTTTTCCACCTCTATCCATTTGGTTCCCATAATTTTGAATGCCCACCCGGTGTGTGCGAGTATCAGTCTGCATTTGTATTCCATTTGTTATGTCAAAACTTTTGATGTTTGAACTTTTTTTTTTTAACATGGTACAACAGGTTTTTACATAGCACCAAGGAGATCTTTTATGTTACAGCATTTTAAACTTAAAAGTTAACTTTTGTTCTTGGTATGTCTTACATGCTTTCTTACATGCCCTTTAGCTGTTGTAAATCATTTCTTATAATTTATCAGTCTTTAGTAAGAAACCTTGCCTGGATGTGTGTTTGGGCAATTAGTATCTGAATAACTGAATTCTGAAAAAAATAGGCAGCTTGTGCCCTGGTTCATCTTTCACAAAACTGGATAGGAGAAGGAAGAGGTGATCTTAGAAAGGAAAAATTCAGCTTTTCATACTTCTCAAGAGGGCTGAGGGACACTTGTCAATATACTGAAATTTGCTTTTTAGGCATCAGTTGCCTAGACATGGAGCTCATGATCTTTCTGTGGTGTCAGGAGATAAAGAGCATACTTTCAAAAAATCATGAGTGCACAAATGTGCTCAGGACTCAGAATAGAATTTCTTTAGGAGCTGAAACAAGAGGAGGAAATAGCAATTGTAGGGGGGGTTTGGTGCTTGTCCTTTGTCTGTCCAGATGCATCATCTCTTTGCAAACCTGGTACCGATATCCATTGTAGTAGCCTTTTGTTTCTTCAAGTAAAATCAATTTATTTCATTTTATTTTTACTTTCTTTTCTATTTTATTTAGCAGACTTTCCTCTCCTGAATCTATTTTAATAAATAAAAGTCTTCATAGATAATTAAGTCTTCCAGTAACTGGAGCTCTAATCCTGGGCTGTTAGCCCAGGCACTTTTTTCTCTCGCTGATAAACTCTTTATAAAGTGAAAACACCTAAAAGGATTTTTTTTTCCTCTCCCATTTGTTTTGCTCAGACTTGGAATATCTTAGGCTCCTACTCTAGAACTTCTTTCTTTATAAAATACAGTGCACATGGGATAGGTATAGTGCAGTACAACATGAGGGTTTTATTTGCATTACTTAGCAAAACCTGCCTAGGTATTTCTCACTAGTGGCATTGCTGTCTCCCAAGTTTTATACCATCCAACCCATGCCAAGAAAAGCCGTTACATGGAACTACCATTGTATGTTCTGTACTTGGCAACTAAATGAGTGCATGTAGTGATAACTGCTCAGTCATTGGAGAGTTTCTTTACTCGCCTGTGGATTGCATACAGGGGACTAGAAATCTTACTGAGGGAAACTGTTCAGAGGAGCTTTCTTAACAGCCAGTTGCCAAGAGCTAAAATCTGAACTGTTCTTGGTTTGTCTCTCTCTGGGAGCACGAACAGAGAGGTAATCCTCTGCAATATTCAAGGAGGAGGAATTACAGGTAAGTAACTTGCTTTTATAGTACTGTAACTTAAGGAAAGATGAAATGCAAGGCATGTGATCCTATTGATTAAAATCTGCATATAAATTTTGGTGTAAATGTGTGTGTTCTTCATAGGAGAGAAGCGTGTCTACCTATCACTGCCCAGACCAGGGGTGAGTTGCTTTTGGGATTTTGTTGTATTTACTTTGTATCTGCTCTTAATTAATTGACTTCTTCCTGTGTTGCACCTTGATGAAGACATAGCAATATCTTGGTAACACGCATTCTGACTGGATGGCTGACAGTAAAATATCAAACTTTGTCAGTTTATTAAATGAATAGCAAACAAACTGAAAACTTGGATAACTTAACTACATAATATGCTCTTTTAATCACTTTGTACATGACCTTTAATTCCTATTCATTAATAGGACATTTATTACCATGTACTTGACTGTCATGCTATATAATAAAAAATGCATTGTTAAAACAGTGAGAATACACTGCAACATACTGAAAGTAAGTCTTGGTAAGCTGATTTTTTTAATGTTGTTGCCTGAGTTGACCTAGTTAGGACAAACGGACATGTTTGAGCCTATTGTAGGCTCTTCAAATGATGGATTCTTGTTTTCTTCTTTGATCTTAAATGTTTTTAATGCGGAGAAAAAAGCTACACCAAATGTCCAGGTTTAGTTGTGAGGTAATTAATATCTTTAGCTGACTATAACTGATACTGCATGATTTCTGAGAGCATCTGTGTGTTAGGAAACCTCCTAAACCTTGCTATTATAATGTAATCAGTCATTTGATTCACTTGCTACATGCTGTATCTTTTCATGGGTAGGAAAAAGGGGAAGAACGATCTCAGAAGGTACAGTAAGCTCTAGTTTGTTTCCTTCTTTCTCTCCTTGCTTTCTTTCCTTAGCCTGTAGTGTTGAGCAACACAAGACATGGACCAGTTAGAACGAGTCCAGAGGATGGCCATGAGGATGATCCGAGGGCTGGAGCACCTCTCCTATGAGGACAGGCTGAGAGAGTTGGGGCTGTTCAGCCTGGAGAAGAGAAGGCTCCAGGGAGATCTTATAATGGCCTTCCAATACCTGAAGGGGCTACAAGAAAGCTGGGGAGGGACTTTTTACAAGGGCAGGTAGTGATAGAACAAGGGGAAATGGCTCTAAACTGGAAGAGGGGAGGTTTAGATTAGATATTAGGAAGAAATTCTTTACTGTGAGGGTGGTCAGACACTGGAACAGGTTGCCCAGAGAATGTGGATGCCCCCTCCCTGGAAGTGTTCAAGGCCAGGTTGGACAAGGCTTTGAGCAACCTGGTCTGGTGGAAGGTGTCCCTGCTGATGGCAGGGGGGGTGGAAATAGAAGATCTTTAAGGCCCCTTCCAATACTAATCATTCTATGATTCTATGATTTGGGTGTGAAATGATTCCATGTCTCCTATTCTGCAGTTCTGTGACTTCAAACACAATGTGCTACTTCTGACCCTTAATGAAAAGAGAAAAGGTCATACATTTTAAATAAAATCTGCAGGTTTAAATAGAATATAATGTTAGTCTGAGTGAGCATGGGTGCCTTTTGCTTGTCTCACAGAACTAAATAGATTAATAGAAGTAGAATAGATTGGTTCAGTGACTTTTGATAGGCTTATTGTCCCTCACTGGTTTGACTAAGCTACACAGCCTCTGGACTTCAGCCAAAATTTAAAGAAAATATATTTGAAGTCAGATTTCCACTTGCTGATTCATATGCCTTTAAAAATATGTACTCAATAAATCTTTGTTCCTAGGATTTGAAGAGTTCTGCTTTGTTGTCATTTGAAAGGTTGCTGCCTTCTTTTGAATTTTGCAAGATGCATACATTTGTGGGAGTCATGATTAATAGACAGTTTGGAAGTAGACAGGAAATGTTGTTACTTCCATAAGACAATGGAGTTTGTTCACAGAGTAATTTATTTGCCTGACTGATGCACTAACCTTTGGAACTGCCTCTTTTCCCAGTGCTGTGACTCTTGGTACTGCCTCTTCTCTCCCTTCTGCCATCACAAAGATCTGCTGTGCCTGGCTAATGCCCATGCTGTCCCGGCACAGAAGTCACACTGTTCCTGTTGATCTAATTAGATTACATATTTTGTTACACCTGTTGATTTGTGACTGTGCTGTTTGCTGGTAATGAGTGGCATCCTAGACCATGTTATAGTTGAGGACAGAGCAGCAGTGATGATTCATGTCTGTGCTGAATGCACAGGTATGGTTTTTGCTTTAGTATTAGGTGTCAAATCATGTTTTAAAGGTGGAGTAACTGTTTGTCTGATTTTTAGCAATTCTTCTTTCAAATAGTGTGAGTGAACAACTAGAATGGAGAAAATCTGACAAACATTCTGGGATTTCTTTAGTTATTTGTGGACAGAAAATCTTACCTGTGCTAGAGTGCTGGTTTTCTTGAATACCTTTCACTCAGCAGCTTAAATATTTGCCGTACCTTGTAGCCCAAAGTTTATGTTTACATACAAATCTGCCGAGAGGGATATTCATGGACTCCACACACGATTCAATGTGAATTCTACTGGAGACCTTTATTATTGGTTACATGATCACTTATATACTCTTAAGCTGCTAACACACACACACACACAAACAACTCTTCATTGGCTATGAGCTACTGTTCACACGCCTGGTTACAATACTTGATTGGATAAATCCACCTGTTCATGAGGCATTCTTTTTACTTCTGGATAGTTAAAATAAGAAGCTTTCTTATCTTGTTTTTCTTGCGAATCATGTACTTTCTCACGAATCACGTTCTCTTGTATTTTCTCACTCAAAATCAGGGCTTAATTGCCCAAGGCTGAAGCCGCTTGCAGCTTGGGCTCTTAAAGCGCCAACACAAATCTAGTTTGGCTTTGTGTTCATTTTTTCTTTTAAGACTCTGCCTTAAAACCAGCATTTCTTGAATTGCATCTCTGATATGCAATATAGTCAAACTTAAATGACAATTAGGAGTATCAGTTCTTACACTTTTTGCTAAATCTTTCCATATAAGATCAGCATTTCTAATACATAGGCAGAATTACAGTGTCTAATCTGGGTAGACATTTATGAATGAGATCTCTTACGAGATTCAGAATATTTAAAAATTTTGGGATGTGAAAAAAGAAATGACATGAAAGCTAAACTAAGCAGCAGATTGCAGTAGGAACTTCAATAGTACTACTCTATTTTCGCTCAAACTTTTGAAGTGAGAGATGGAAACCACACCTGGAGCTTATTTCTGATGCTGTTCACAATGAATAGTGCTTTTTTCTTTCTTCCCTGCAGGCATTACTGAACTTAACTTGCCCAATTACTCCCACTAATGAACAGCAGCTCTTCTCAGATTCTCAGACAAGAATCTCAGCCCTGCACTGTTCCTATCCAGCCTCCTCCAGTGGCTCACACCTCTCCAAGTTACAACACCAAGTTTGCGCTTTCCATTCCTCTGCACTCCAGTGCAGTTTCTGCATGTGGACTCTGGCTCCCATGTCTGGTAGTTTTTGCTGTCTTTGCACAGCAACAGCACACGAAGTTAAAGCCAGGAACTGCTGCTCTCTGCATGCAAATTGATTTGAAACAAATAATATATTACTGTGTGTATATGTCATGCAGTTGGCAAGCTCTACCTTATCAGATATTCCACTCACATCAGTACCACTAATTATTATTTCATCAGAGCCAATATTTGGCTTGCAGCCAGACTGGTATTTTGGATGACTTAAATAAAAGAAGGAAACACATAAAAATATCAAAGTGTCAGTATTTGTTTCCAGCTACTTTAACAAAGTGACACAGAATAACGAGCTACATCATCACACCAGCATTTACATGGGTTGTCCCCTAGATCAGCTTGCTACCAGCTAAATCAACTGCCAAGTCCCTGTTAAATTAGTATCATCTTTTGACGGAAAAATCAGTGCAGTAGTACTTGATTAAGACTGTTTATTTAGTCCTAACTATTACTGAGGATTTAGAGGGTAAGGGGAAGAGATGGTACTGCATGAGGAAGCGGAGTCTGAGAACTCTGGAAATAGGTCTTTTCCTTCAAACTTTAGGGTGTCTGTAGGCACAGACCCTGTTTCCATGTGCCATTTCAGGAGGACAGACAGATCAGAACAGGTTCTCAGCTTCTACTGAGAAGTTTGTCTGAACCACTGGAACTCTCTTATGAAGTCTACTTCTGAGTATAAAGCCACCTCTTATGATTTGTTAGTAAAATGATTACTAATTCCTTTTATTTAAAAATATTATTTTTTTGTTTGAAACAGAAGCATAATGCAAATCTGAAAGCATTAAAGCCAGTCAAACTAGATACTGAGGTAAGATGCCATCATTTTAGTAAAAAAACTTCTTAATTTATTTTTCTCTTGTCTGAAGAATGTATTTTCAAATGATACAAATATGGTTAACATTTACAGGAGCAGGCAAAAATTGCAAAACTTGGATTAGAATTGCATCTGCTCACATCTGATGTGGATTCTGAGACAGAGAAATGGGAGGATCAGGAGAATGAGATTGTGCAACATGGACAAGGCATGTCAAGTATGGCCTACTCCATGTATTTATTTACCAGGTAATGACACTGTATGTACCATGTTTGGTGGAAAGAGCAGCATTAACAGTGTTTATAAGAAATAAGACAATTTCATTTTCAGAGTATAATAATTGGGACACATTCAGAAAGGAGCTTTAATTTCTATCCTTACGCTTTATAAATTCTTGTAAACTTTTGAGCTGTTTAATAATAAAATAAGGGGGTTTTTTAAAGTGCTAAACATGTGTTTTGTCACAGAACAGTTATTTAAATATATCTTGGGTATGGAAAACATTTTAAGAAGCATGTTCATAAATACTTTGAAAATTAAGGGAATTAAAACACAGGTATATAACTGTAGATTAGAATTACTGATCTTTGCTGTACTGAAAGGTGTTCTTCTGAAACTTGCCCATGTGATATCAGCTTTCTTACTTGAAGAATTTGGTTGGTTTTTTGTTTTTTTTTTTTTTTTTTTTTTAATAGGAGTTGAGATTTTTTTGTACCTTCTAGTCCAATAATACTCGGCATGCTAGAGACATGGATTTCTGTCCTTGTTCAGCTGATGAGAACAGAACCATTGCTAATTTCCCAATAGTGCTCTAGCCACTGAGGTGTTTATATAATATTCTGAAATGCAGTTCCTGTAGTAAGTTATTGTTGTGCATAGTATCTTCTAAAAGAGTGATATTTTTCAGTTCATTAGTGTGAATGGGGGTGAGAGAGAGATATAAATTGTGCAAGTAGCTGGCAAAATAACCTGCAGTCTATCCATGGCATATATTTTTGTTTTTGTTGGTTCCCACAGAGGAGAAGGTCTTCTGAAAACCACTCAAGATTTATTTCATCAAGCAGAGGTAATATATTTTTAACAAAACAGGAGTTAGGCATGCTGGGTGAAGAACAAATTGGAACTTAACTCTCTGATTCCTTACACATAAGTCCAGTGTAACATGACTGGCAACTGTAGTTTTTGTATTTTTAACAAAACAGGAGTTAGGCATGCTGAGTGAAGAACAAATTGAAACTTAACTCTCTGATTCCTTACACATAAGTACAGTGTAACATGACTGGCAACTGTAGTTTTTAAGCAGCGAACTCTGGTATGTACTTTCTGAAAGGAAACATTTCAGTATTCTTTTAAAATATTCAGTAGTAGCTTAAGACAGCATTCATTAAATGGGCAGATTCCAGTTAGGAGTAGGAATTATGGCAAATATAGTGGACTTCACTGTGTTAATGGTATTCATTGTGTCACTTAGCTCAGTCCCTGATAGTGTTAATGGATACTCCATCCTAGTCTGAGCAGCAGTATTTTCATAGGAAAGAAAGAAGATGTCAAAATTTGAATAATACAAACCAAAGACAAGGTGCCAAGTGAAGGAGTGTGGCATGACATGGTTTAGTGGTGGACTTGGCAGTGCTGGGTTAATGGTTGGACTTGATGGTCTTAAAGGTCTTTTCCAACTTAAACAATTTTAGGATTCTATGATATTTCCCAGATACACGGCTGTGTTTAACAGGAGACTGGCTACCTTTCTCAGGACAGCAAACATGGCAGGTGTCATCTACCCACAAAACTCGTCAGCTGCTACAGTGCAAAAAATAATTGGGAGTCAGATTTTTTTATATGTAAAAGGAAAGCCTTTCAACTTTGCTTATCTGGGAGAACAGCAATTTGCAGGGCAGCTTTTTATTTCAGAAGTCCAGGCAAACTGCTGACTTGTTAATTATAAATGTATACAACTATCACAAATATCTCCTGCTACCTTTTTACTTTGTAGCACACTATTTATTAAAACAACAAGGAAAAAGAGCCTCATCTTTCATTGTGGTTCATTTTGTTACGTGCTTCCTCCCACTTTCAGATTTTTGCTACGGAGGGCACAAAGCTTGCTTCAGCTCTTCATGCCTTCTCTGATCAGGTGATGTATGACCTCTAACACAGCCATTCAGCTTATGACAGTAGTGATACTGCTTAAAAGCTGGTTGTGTTGTCTCCATTGACTTAATATTTGAGTCTTTAACACAGAGTGGTTTTGTCTTCCTGAAACACATTTCAGGTACACAATGATGACAAACCTTTGCTTCTGTTGGAGGCTGAAAAACTGATCTCTATGTGCAAGCAGCTCCAGATAACAGCTAAAACTTCTGTTCAGGGTAAAAGTGCTACATTTACAAAGGTAAGGTAAAAACTATATATATTCCTGAAAGACCTAACTTGTTTTGAAATACAGTAACTTACTAATTTATACTCCTGTTAAAATCTGAAATAGTTCATGACAGCTGAACTTCTTGGATTGACCGAAGACCATAAAAAATAATAAGTACAAAATTTATGCTGTTGTGCAAGCATTGTTCTGCTACAAAATATGTCATTGTTGCTGTTCCTTATGTAGAAGAGGAATTTACTTCAACTTCAAATACTGTCTTGCACTTAATGTATTTTGAGAAGCTGATCTGCAAAGTATAGAGGAAGAACAGTAAGAACTGTACCTCTTGCTGAAAATGTTTTGCATATTGGGACATCCCTCACTGATAACTGTAATCCAAGCCATGTACTGCACTGTCTTGTCTCAGGAGGGGATTTTCTTCAGCACAGGTGCTACTGTTTCCTAGCCTTTTTGTTTTTTCCCCCACTACTGGAGAATGGTTTCAATGACCTGACCCCCCCCTCATTCATGCTGAGTTTTGATAGGAAGCAAAATATGGTACACTGGCACCCAGCACACATGGAAGCCCTGCCAGTGGACAGCTTGGATATTTTTACAGGCTTATACTAATGTTTTCTTTAGGGAGCATGGATATCTAAGTTTTGTATAACTGGCCCAGTGGCCACAGACGTATCATTGATATTAATGTTTTAAGGAACAGTTTTTCTACCCCTAGTTTATCAACTTTAGAGTCTAAGAAGCAGTAAAATAAGTAATAGGATTTTTTTCCTTCCTATTACTAAAAATACTGAAATTATCGTTTGGGTTTTGGATTTCACTGTTAGTGAAAGAGTTTACAGAAATATTTCCCAAGACAATGATGTTCCTGGACTGCTCTTAAAAAAAATAAAAAATAAAAAAAAAAAGATGGAAAGGTAGGCTTCCACTGCTTTATATTGCTTTTTACAGCTGAGAACTTTTTTCAAAGAATTTCTTTCAACAGCTCCCTCAACTTACCCACTAAAGAGAGCATTTATCATGCTGCAACTGAGAATTTTCAGCTCAATAACGAGATGAAGTAATACCGTATATGATAGTACTGTAATCCACTAGAACTTCATTCAGAGAAATAAGAACTGTAATTAAGCATACCTCACTGAGAAAGGACTTCAGTGATCAAATTTGTATTTCCACCACTGTTAATAGTTAGTTGCACTGTTGTTATTGATGCTTAACATAGCAAATTCCAAACCCCCAAAGACTCTATTACTGAAATACATGCTTGCTTCTCAGTAGATAGGTACACTACCCTAGACTGCCCAGTTTATTCTGATATTATTCATATTTGTTAAAATTAAATGTGTATGCAGCTGCCACAAAAGTTTCAGCGTTGTTACCGTGGTAAGTAGATCTGCAAACCTTTGTGGGGAATAGTCAGGCTTTTTGAAGAGCTTCAAGTATCCCTGAGCAGCAATATGATCAATGTGAGAAAGATCATTTCTGTGCATCTGGATGTTTGTTTCCAGTGAGCTGTGGTGTAGTAAGATAGGGTCTGGCGGCCGGAAGATATCGGGCTGTACGGAAAGGTAAGACACCCCCCCTCTCTCTGCTAGTAGCCAATAGCACTTAGCCTGTGAGGGACTGAAACTGTCTAGAGCATCCAAGCCACTCAAAACCACACTGAGCACCTCAGGGGTACTGCTTGGTTTGTTTTACACTCTAGCTGCACTAAATGGGAACTTCAGTCTGTTCATAGTGATGTGTCACTATATAGTGATAATAGCCTAACAAATTAATGTTTGTCGAGGGCCCAGACTTGTGACCTGCGCTGAGTGTTAGACTTGATGCATAAACTCAAATGCCTTAAGATTTAGCTAACTTTTACTGTAACTCCTATCGAGATAAGGCTTGCATGATGCATGGTTTTCTAAATCACGCTGACAGGACGTAAAGCAAAAGGGAAAGCATGAAGAATTGTGATGAATGATAATTAGATGCTAAGAGCTCCTTTCCAAGACTTATATTACTGTTTAATATTGTATTTTTAGTTTCTCCTCCTGGGATGTGTGGTGTTCCCTTCACCTTCCTAGCTCAAGTCTTGGGTTAACAGAAGGGATGTTGTTGCTTTACATGTACTATATAGAGAAACTCAAAAAAGTTAGGCAAAACCTTTTGATTAGAAGCGATTTATGAAGGACAAGTATTACCTGTTCAATCTTGAAATAATTATAATCTCATGCATTAAACAATTGCCTCATAAAAGTAATGAGTGGTCTTCCTCTCCTGTAACTGTCTTGTTTAGGTTGATGCATGCATTCTGAAAACAAGGAACATGATGACTCTCTTATGCCAACTTCTTCCACTTTGCTGCAAATTACTGAGAAAGGTGAGTACTTGGTTCATCTAAAGTATTTTAGAGTTCTTTAGGTGGTTTTTTTTTTGTTTGCTTGGGGGTTTTTTGTTTGTTTTTAAGAAATCTTTTTTTTTTAATACAGAATAAAGCAGGAAATGGCTGTCTTAAAGCTGCTCCACCGTGGAGAGAAGACAGAATACAAACTGGTACAAATACACACACTCCAGAAAGGAGAGCAGAGACATTTGGCATCAAGTCTTTAGAAAATCATGTAACAAACATGACGTTTTTAGAGAGCAAGTAATTATAGCACTTAGAAATGCAGGAACTCCCCTTTGAAAATAACACTTGCTGAATTTTCAATATTGCTTTCATTTGTGGAAAGTCAAATCAGGTTAATTTGAATTAAAACTGATGACCTTTGTCACATCTAATAGATGTCCCATTACTTAGCAATTACAACACCAACTAGTCTAATCATTATATATTTTTATAATGTGAATGCCTTTCCTATGCTCACTATTGATACCAGTTTTGTAATTAATGCTTATGAATGTCTTAATGGATGTTTCAACCCAAAGATGCTGCTAATAGACATTTTATATAAAGAACCTTGTGCTGCATATGCTCTATGTAACACTACTGTTCGAAGTCTGTAAACTCATCTCTGGCCTATGTCAATCTATGTATTTGATAAAGCAGAATCAGGAATATAGTCTGAAAGGCTGTGGCCTAAAGCACTGAAATATTATCTTAGTTACGAGTTGTACCTGCAATGAAGTAGTTCTAGGAAAAAAAAAAAAATGCTCTTTCAATAGCTGTACCACTGAATTTTAATCTTGTTGACATGATTCATATTTCCAAAAGTGTATTTCTAAGTGATTAGTACTCTTGACTCAACCCCTTTTTTTTCACTATCTTTATTTGTAGATGGCACAGTTGTTTCTTCCTTTTTTGTTAAAACTTACGGAGCAGAATTTAAATTGCATGTAGAACCACTGAAGTATTATGTAGACTTTACATTATACCATTTAAAACTGAAGAAAATAGATACTGATTGTGACAAACTTCTGTACAAAGGGCATTATTTGACTTCAGGATACTATGAAAACATAACTTGGTGTGAAATACATATTTTCAATTTTATCTGCTCTTTGTACATAAGCTTCTGTTTTGGTTTTTTTTTTTCCTGTATTTTTATTTTCAATTTACCTTTGTCAAATTCCAAAATGAAGTGATAGCTAAATCTCATTATTTCTCTGTATGTGTTATGCTTGCACTGAGCAGAAGCGAAGCTGCCTGTGGAACATAAATACTCTCCAACATACCATTCTGTGCTTATTTTAAAACTTGTAGTGCTAGAATTGAGATAAAGACAAAGCAAACTTTAATATACAAGCTATTTGAACTGTTTTATTCTTGCATGAATCAAGTGTTTAAGTAAGTTCCACTTTTAAAAACAGCCACTAGGCCTTTCAATACCATGAAAGTTACAGTGTACAATCAAAGTGACTTATTTAGTATCCAATACAGATGAAGCTGTATAATTAAGTTCATGAAGAAGAATTAAGACGTTTCAACAAAACTTCCTCATATTCCTTCTGTGTCAGAAGTCCTTGAGTTATACTCTTGCTTTCTTCAAATTTGGGTAGAACAACTGCAATGTATCCCTCAGTTGAAGGCTAAAAAGCAAGACTGAAGTTAGTAGTGAAATAAAAGTTAAACAATAAAGAGCAAAAAAGTTTCTTACCTTTTCTTGCAGAATAGCTGGATTGCTAAGAATGTTTTCATTCACTTCTATCAGTCGCCCTCGTATACAACTGCAAGTGTGTTAAGTTTCAGTAAAAGTGCATGGTTTGTCAAGGTAAGAAAAAAAAAAAGGGGGGGGGGGAAACCCCTTACCTATAAATGGTGTATTCCTCTCCATCTGATGAAGATATCCTGCACAGAGGAGCAAGTTCTGTTAAAAACTGAGCTCCCTGCATTTGAGGGGGAGAAAAAAAGTAAATTTTATATATATAAAAATAAAAACATACACACACACTTTTAATTACACAGGGCTTTTAAAAGCATTACCATCAGCAACACAAGAAGTTTGTAAACTTCAGAACAAGTAAAGAAGTGTGATAGTAACAGGTCACTGATAGTAACAGGTCATTGCAAATTACATAGCTGTGCTTCCCTACAGAAGGGAACATGACAGCTTAGTTATGTGCACAGATTAGAAGCTTGTAAGAGCTTAAAAACTCAGTCATAATTAAGTTTCTTGTAGAATTGTAATTTAAACAGATTAAAATCAGCAAAGAGAGGAGAAAAACAGCACAGCTGACTTTAATATAACCAGGTTAAACTACACACACTTGAGAACCCACCATGAAACACACTGAACTAGCCCATCTACTCTGAGGTCTGTTTCACAAAAACAGCAGTCACTAAATTCTTGGCATTTTGTTGGAAACGGAGTTTTATCTATGAGGGCATATTTAAGTCCCTCTGTGTTCTATGAAAAAGTGACTAAAAGTGACTGTTAGCCTTGGTTTGAGCAACACTGGGAACCACTGGTGCTGCAGAAGCACTGTAAGGCCCCAGGTGGCACACTGAGACAGGCATCTCTTGAGAAAGTCTAAAGTCTTTAACTGCAGAAGGGCTGTTTTAAAATAAAATGCCAAGGTATATTGATAAGTTTCTATCCTAGAAAGGACAGAAAGTCTCAGGCAGTGTGAGATTAAAATGAAAACTAACCAAATCAAAAAGCCATACCCTTTTTGACTTCCCAGAGACCTTATTCTGGAGTCTGCTACAGTTGGCACTGATTTGGTAATTAATACTTTTAATAGTTTTTCCATTTTGAAGAAGAGGATGAGCTTCTGCCAAAGTGATGACACAGATTCTGCAACAAGAGGTATAATTATTACACTGTAGTTGTGAGAAGCCATGCTCTTACGTGCTCTAAAATGCTAGCAAGTTGTGAAAGCTGTTGTTTACTTTTCACTCTGTAAAGCACAACATTATTCCCTCTGTTTCAGGAAAGTTAAGCTGATAGTTCAGCTGCAGGATGGGCACCTACCAGGCCCAGGGAGAAAGGAAGGACAGAGAGGTCCAGGTGACAGCATGGGGGCTGAGTAGAATAACACAATTTAGAACACAATTTACCTGAGCTAATGAAGAAGAACAGAGGATAAGTGTTGGCTGTAGAGCAGAGATAAATTTTAGCTTCCCACTTACAAAAATGTCAGATACAGGATCAAATCAAACTCAGAAAAGTGAGGGCAACTTACTGGGCCTCTGCTGTACCAAAATGAATGAAGATTGCATTCTGACCTAAAGCAGCCCCCACAGAAGGTGCTTTATTTTGAGGTACTAGATTGGATCATCAAACATGGTACACTTCTTAAACAGAACCACAGTTATTCAATAAGCTAGAGCTGTTCTGTCTGTTGTAGCCCATGGGAGCATACTTGTCTCGCCTGTCCTGATAGCTGAGGCAATCAAGCAAAGCACAGTGCTTTGTAGGAAAATGTAACACAAGGCAATGTTTCTCAGAACAGGTAAAGGCCGTTAGTAGTGAATACTTACAGCAGATGAATCCTTCAGTGATCTGGGCTTTAGATAACCTGCTGCTTGCATTTCATCTTTTTCTAAAGGAGGGCTGGTTTTTGTCATGAAACTGGAGAGTTTGAGACAAGCCCAGCTGTGGAGACCAGGCCTACCTTCATCCCTGGGTTAGAACCAGACTTAATGCACAAACATGGAAAGCCCAGAACTTGCCAATAAATGAACAGAGATGAAGCAATTCTGTTTAAGTGGAGTTTCAAGTCTAGAGCACAGATCAGAATTAACAGTGACTAGAGAAAACCACAGCACAGAACTAGATCTTTCCCTGTGGATCTCCCTCCACTGTCACATCTCTGCAAGTTCTTGCTGTGCAGCTGCCCGCAGGAGGGAGCTGGATCCTGGCAAATGCTTTCAGCATGCCCCAGCAGCTCAAAGGGACCTGAAAAGCTCCCTCCTCTTGGCCCCAGCCTCCTTCTCAGCGGAAGATGACAAATCATCTGTTTGAGCTGTCATCTATTAGAGCTGAGACCTAGCAAACCAAAAAATCAACGGAGAATTTTACACTGCTTAGAAATACCCAACTGAGCCATAGCCCCATAACATAATAATGGTAAAATACTTCACAGAGCATTTGTCTAAGCTGCTGCAGAAGCCAAGGGCCCTGGTATTTCAGAATTCAAAATAGCAAATGGACAAATGTTTATATTTTTATCTCCTTTCCTCTGTATCAAGAGGATTTAAACTGCTGTTTATATTAAACAGCTGTGACTAATAACTACAAATCATATTTAGTATTTAGTGCAAATGTGATGGTGTCCTTTCTTGCTGTTGCTGTCATACCTATTGTTCCCAGATACGCAGGTTTCTGTTTCCAAAGAACAAGAAAGGGAACTGCATAAAACAGCCCCAGCACTAAAGGCTGCAGTGAAGAGATGGTTCTGTGCTGTGCCAAGCACGCCCGTCCTGCTACTCTGAATTCATAACAGGCAACCCACTTGGAACAACAAACACCTCCTCTTCCCTCAAAACTGGCACTGCCAATTTCTGTGTGGACAGTAAAGTTCTGTTCTTCCCTCAGAGGCTGAAGACCCCAGAAACAGTCCCGATGGCAGCAAAGTGCCCTGCAGGCAGAACGGGATTTAACAGCGGGTGTGTTAAGAATCCAAACCAGGTACAGGGTTGATTTATTCCAAATGACTGAGTATCCAGCTACAGCAGGGTAGAAGCGATGTATGGCCTTTCATTTCCTACCTTGCACTCACCGTGTGTAGTACAGAAAAGAACAATTAAATGCAACTGAGTTGTATATAGAAAAACCTGTATGTTTGTTCAAATTGAGCCAATTAATTTTTTAGAACCTAAGTTAAACAGACTGCTTCTAAATGTCATTCTGGAAAAGCCTTTTGAAATGTCACTCTTCAGCCACTGAAGATGATGCGAAGGGCCCTTGCAGCCGGAGAGGATGGGGACGTGGGGGCAGCACACACACCGGAGGGTCTTCTTAAAAATCTGTTGAGCAATCAGGGGGCAAAGAGTTCCAGCTCCGCTGTTCTTACGGGAGTAGTAACTAAAGAAGGCTTAAGGCTCAGATTTGTCACCCTCCCACCCTCCCGAAAAGTCCAGGCCCGCCCGATACTTTCCCCTGTCCCACGCCAGCCGTCTCTGCGGGAGGGGCGCTT